GTGTATCAAGACCCTTAGTAGATAATAGACTATATAGCTTATATTGAGATGCTCTATTTAAAGTTATAGTTGTACTTTTTTGTGTGCCAGCAGGTTATTTTTCAGCCATTTCTTAGTTTTAGCAGCGGCAGTTTCTGGGTGACATTTGGCGCAAAGCTTTAACCCATTGGTGCCTTTTTATTACTACTGTGTAAAAAAATTAAACACAGTGATTAATGCTGTATTAATTCAGACCAAAAATATCAAAATGCTAATCATAATCCTTATCGTTGAAGCATATTAGCTGTCCTTGCTGAATAAAGTACTTTCTGAGATGGTCAAAAAGATGCACCCTGACCCTCATCTAACTAAATTTGCGTATACAATATTTAGAAAAATCATTTGTTTTCTTCCAAGTCCTACACTGCTTTACTTAATCTTTGTCAAGATAAGATGTCAATAGCAAATATTTAAGTTTGTGGTTTTAATCTGAACAAAAAAAAATGCATAAACCTTCAATACTGTTGCAAAAACGTTTTAGTTTCCAAAAACATGACACACAAAAATTAGTCATTGAATATAAGTATTGCTCATCCCTTAATGGACACGTCATCTATGCAGGTCACACTTTACAAACAGACATGCGTGTGTGCCATACAGCCAGGGGGACACATTAAGCCTTAGGACAAACACCTACCAGATAAGACTAGAGTTGTTGTTTTTTTTCAAAACACCCAAGACTTGCAAAAAAGTGCGTCACAACACGCTCATGCAAATCTTTTCAAATTTAAACCCTCACAGACACCTGCTATGCTGTTAAAAAGAGAGAATGAATAGAAGGGACACACAGAGAGAGACAGCCCATGCAGGAAGACCAAGAGCAGAGGAAAGGAAATACGAACTCAAAGGACAGCGCCTTTACGTCCATAGTTTGGGTTCTGGAACTGATTGATTGGACTCTTGTAAATTGGGTTTTCTTGCTACAGGTGGAGAATGAGGACAGAAGAGAGTTCAGTAGTGAAATGAAGAACATCAGAACAGTAAAAAAAAGAATAATTAACAGTAACCAGAGAGAGGAATAAGGACAAGTGAGAGATCAGAGGGTGAAGGCCGACACAGCCGACTACAAAAGCTACCTTTTAGGAGCTGCTGTTCTGTGCAAGGTTCCTTTAGAGAATAAGAGGCGGGGCCTATTTACTGACTGAGAGATATAATAAGAACCGGTTGGAGGGGTCTATCGAACCAAATTAAAGACAGAACACTGTCGCCCCATAGAGTTAGATTGTTTACTTGATAAAACCGCTGACGGAGTTCCTCAGGGCTGTACATTAGGACTCCTTGTCCTATCACATTATATGTGAGAATATTATATATATATATATCATGCTGATTAGATAATTGTATATTTCTCATCTGCTCAGTTGTTAACACCCTTGAAATTTTTTTCATTTTGGCTTTAATGCTCAATTTGTAACCTTAGAGAAGGTTGAATGGGTTGCTTTATGGTATTCTCAAATTGTAAAGAGTTATTTTTGCTATTTGTAAAACACTTATACTTAATGATCAATCTCTTATCTAAAACCTGAGTTACTTTTCTTTCTATAGAAATACATCTAGCGGTTTAATCCAGTAAAAGAAATGTCCAGTTTCTGCTAGCTGCTTTCCTCAGACCACGGTGATCCGTTCTTAATAAATACTTCACACTGCTGCCTGTGTCCTCACTAAGACTAAGAAAGTAGAGCACATCACCCCAGTTCTAAAGTCCTTCCACTGGCTCCCTGTATCTCAGAGAATAGACTTTAAAATACTTCTGTTAGTCTATAAATCCCTGAATGGCTTAGCACCTAAATACATCACAGACTTGCTATCAGTGTATCAACCCTCCAGACCACTCAGGTCTTCTGGCTCCAGCCTGCTCTGCATACCTCGAACCAGAACTAAACATGGAGAAGCAGCATTTAGTTCCTATGCTCCACTTATCTGGAACAAACTTCCAGAAAACTGTAAAAGTGCGGAAAGCCTGAGTTCCTTTAAATCAAGACTAAAAACACATTTGTTTAGGATTGCCTTCGACTGTTCTAGTTAAACAGTTCAACTAAAACATATTTTCTTTAGTCAAACTGTTTTTAATATTCTTTTTCGTTTCTGCATTTTTTATTTTATTCATTTTTTTTTATTTTTTCCTACTTGCTTTGATTCTTTTTATTTTCCTGTATTTTAATCATGTAAAGCACTTTGCATTGTCTTTGTACTGAATTGTGCTATACAAATAAATTTGCCTTGCCTTGCCTATTGTGCTTCCTTTTTATTACTTTAAGGGAAAGCATGGACACTAATTTAAGATCTGCAACCCTCGGCTTTAGATGGTGACTGCATTGCAGCTCAGGGTGCTACATACCCGTCTGCACTACTGGAAAATGAAAGCCTATTAAATATGCAGCCTCTGTGCCTTCTTCAAAAAAAAAAAAAAAAATTAATTTTGGTTGTTGTATGATTTCCAGGATAAATGAAACCAATACTTCCGAGAAAAATCAATGTCTTCTGTTTCAGTTTTTATATTAGATTAGATTCAGATTAGATTAGATTCAACTTTGTAGTCATTACACATGTACAGGTACAAGGCAACGAAATGCAGTTTAGGTCTAACCAGAAGTGCAGGACAAATACAGGACATGGATTTTCTACTGAATGAGTATAGAGATGAATACTATTATATATATAATGAATATAATATATAGATCACCAGTGTTATGAACTAAATTTACAGCTGGATATGTACCGAATATAATATACAGGTGGATATTACTATAAAAAAAGGTTTTTACAGTTATGATTTTAAGATCTAAAAGACGTGAAATTTCCAATTCCATATGTAGGTTTCCAACAGAGACTTTGGTTACAACGTGAGAGCACGGGTCGCTCTTAGTTTACAGTCTTTAGTGAGAATTGAAGGCTGCTGCGGCTCGTCGCCTAAAGCACTAACAGGCTGAGGTTAGTCAGCAGGAAAACGTCTCTGCAGTAAAAGAGAGAAAAACAACTGTCCTCTGTTTTCCCACTGAAAAAGAGTCCCTTATAGCAGGATTGAAAAAAAATAAGGTATGCTTTGTTTTTTTTTCTTTGAATCTGTTGCACTAACATAGATTTCTCCCGGAACCTAATTCATACACAGCCTCGTTCCCCTATGTGTGCATCTGCTAGCTTTAATTAAAAAAAAAGATACATTTGTTAACTTAAGATCAATTTATTGTTTACTGTTTGGTTCAGAAATGTTTTTGAATCGTTTAATTTTAGTTTCAAATGTATTTAGGGTGTTTTCAGTCACTTTTTGCCTCACCAATATTGATGGTCATTTCTTCTACGGCTGGTTAAAAACAAGACCAAGTACGAAAACTAGGTGATGACATCATCTAAGGACTTATGGCGACTTTCAGGACAGCCAGTCGCAACTTTCCTTACTTGAGAGTTGGAAACAGTGCATTCTTGGATGCTAATAATAGTCTGACTTGCTATCACTACTCCTGTATCTATCCATTAAAAACTGGGATTCCAAAAATCTGTGGGTCATCTTCAGGTAGGCTCTACATGCTGCTTCTTGTCTAAATCTTTACCAATAAAGAGAGCAGGAAAGGAGAGTATAGAAAAAAAGCTAATGTTGCTAATGTTTTATCCACATAAATGAGTGTACACAAAAGCCAAATTCAGGTCAGAATGAGATCTATTTATGTTTATTTTTATCCTAAAGTGTAATAAACATGAATTTGTAGAAAGTTTCAGATGGACTATATATGCAAACGTTGACAAAGTGAAATGAGCTTTGAGAAAACATTAACAAGACGCAGATAGCAATTGGTTTTTCACTAGTGTTGGGCATTGAGAATCAATGGGAACCAGTTCAAACCTTTAAATTCTGTGTTGTTTAAATCTTATCATTCCTGTTTTCGATGATATAGAAGTGCCAAATATTGGGGAAGAAGAAATTGCAGCATTATGTGCCTAAACATCTGCTTGTGCTACAACATTTAAAAGTGTGGATTAATCAGAATCAGAAATACTTTCATGATCTCATAGGGAAATTACTTTATTGCAATAAGGAAATACACTGAAAAAAATCTAAATCTAGATTTGTCATTTTTTCTTTAAAAAGGTGCATTTGTTCTTGGATTGAGGAGATAAAACAGACATTTTGCCAATGGAACAAGACAATTTACACTTAAAATAAGAAAACACAATTGCATTGTCTTATTTCAAGTGCATATAATCTAAATATCTAAATATCTGATCTAGAACTACTCATTCCATTGGCAAACTATCTCATTTACCTACTCAAATTAATGGCAAATACTTCATTTAAGAAATGTTTACTTATTTCTAGATCATTTTTCCAGTGTAAACACTCAGCTACCGGGAAAATTGGCGATGAGATAATATGACTCAAAGGCGCTGCACGGCCAACATGATTTAAAGTTGCCAGAGTCGGCCTAATCTCTGACCCACTGCACATCTATTGTAAGTTGGGCTTTTTTCGGGGAATTTGTTCCTCCTCTAAATTAGCAAATCTTCTTCAGGGACAGTAGAACCTTTTTTATATTCCTCTTACTTTGCGTCTCAATAGAAACCCGCATTGATTACTAAGTGTTCTGCATAGAAAAAAAAGCCCTTTAACAAGAGCTGGCGAAATTTTGAATAACTTTTTATGCATGACTTAATACATTGCTTATTTTATTTCATTTGGATTCAGTTTCATACGATAAAACTTACTAATCGTACAATTCAGTACGATAACTAATGAACCACAAAAGTAAAGCATCACTGTTTCCACTTCTTACTTTAAAACTTCATGAGCGCAGAAAAGATGATAAAAAATCAGAGCAAGTATGGAGAAGGAAACTCTGAAAATGTGCTCCCACTCTTAATCAAAAAATCACTTTGTAAACAGACTCCAGCTTAGAAAGCTAGTTTGGAGGTTTAACCTATAAAAAAAATACTCTGCAGTTTTTCCTGTTTACGTAGTTTCAACTCCTTTAAAGAACAGCATATATTTATATTTGGGTATGCTGTTTTTATTATGTTTAGAGTGACAGTTAGGGGTAAATTTAATAAGTGATTTTTTTTTTTACAGATCTTTAATGTATTAAGGACATAATGCCTTGATTTCCCCCTTATTTGTATTTTTATGTCCTAAAATACCGGTCTCATTAAGGTCTATTCTATAGTTTATGCCTTTCCTGCAGCGGAGCGATGAAGGAGAAGATAATGGCGTGTTAACTTGTCTTCTGCAGCAACCATAACGCCATACCTCCACTAGATGGCGGAGTACGACTTCACATGATACAGAGCAAATTCCTGCTTTACATACTGTTGCTGTTGGCTCCCAATGTGACATGAGGGAGGAAGCAGGGAGGGAAGAAGCTGTAGCCCCTCCCTGGAAAGTCTTGTTATGCACAGAGCACATAGCATTCCCAAAAAAGTCCACACAGACTCTAGCGTTTTTCCTTTTTCAGTTGAGCCCTGTTCAAAAGCAACAAATTCAATCTGCCTTCGCTGCTGCCAGCGAGAGCAAGAGCGCTCGTAATGACATAAACATGGCTGCAAATCCCATCTGCTGCTAAGAACAACTGACTACCTTCCCTGGGAAGAAATGGAGGCCGAAACTACACCTGTTTTCCACATTTAAGCCGCTTTACTAAAAACCTCAGACAAACATCAGCCATGATGATCCTTTAGACTCTCATAGAGAGAGATACAGTTTCGGGAACCCACCGTATCCCACTTGGCGTTCATCTTCTCCTTCTCAAACTTGGCGAACTCTCTCCTGTCGTGGATAATCATAAGCAGCTTCCAGATGAGCAGGAGTGCCAAGCCTATCAGAACGATACCGGCGACCACGCCTGCCACAATGGGGATGATATCTGGGCCGGTGGGACAATCTGAAACAGAGCAGCAGAGTTTTGTAACCTCTAAGGTGAATCTGTATCTTTCATTCAACGCCTCCAACCCCCACGATGAGTCTGTGCTCACCAGGCTCCTCCAAGACGTAGACCACGTTCTCTGTGTTGTTGGTGACGCTGTATGTGTAGTACATCCAGCAGTCGTTGGCGTCCCTCTCTTTGCAGTGACCGATGGGGTAGGCACCGTCGTTGGGTTGGGGTAGCTTTTCCCTGCTTTTCACTTTAAACAAGGTGAAGTAGCTGCATTCTTTCTGACACGTTTCCTTCTTCTCCCCAGTGCCAAACGCCCGGCACTCCACGCAGTCTCTGACGAAACAATACCAAAAATCTGGTGATGTAGAGTCTTTCCAGGAAGCATCTATGATTTACTCATCCTGTACATATCTTAAAAGGAATTCCTTTGATAAAATATGTCTTTCATTAGCTCGACAAGCATTTTTGCAAAACCCCTTTGGAATCTATACCCCTGCACTGCAAAAACAATCTAGAAATAAGTTAAAATGTCTTAAATTAAGGGTATTCAACCTTAATTTGAGAAGGTAAATGAGAAAACTACTACTTAAAATAAGATAATTAGATAATATGCAATTGAAATAAGAAAATGCAACTTCGTTTTCTTATTTTAAGTGTAAATTGTCTTGTTGCATTGGCAAAATGTCTCTTTTACCTCTTCAATCCAAGAACAAATGGACTTATTTTAAGAAAAAATGACTTATCTAGTTTTAGATTTTTTGCAGTGTGATTTTTCTCAGTGCCTTGTAGAACTCTTACACTGTCAAAAGGAATGCCTGCTAGTCTCAGCATGAGAATATTTCTTTAAAATATAAACCTTATGGTCATGCGATCAAGGTCATTTCTTACTTGTGTTCAGCACAGACTCCGGGACAGGTGGGGCACATTTCGCACGTCGAGCCCTGGAATTTAGGATCATCACACTTGCAGGTGCCGCATTCGCACCGTCCTCTGCCGTTACAGATCTGCTTGTTTTTGGCCAGACACGTGCTCTGGTCCAGAGAACAGTCGCAGGCCGTTCCGTTCCACATGGGGTCACAGACGCACTTCCTGCACACGCATTTTCCGTGCCCTGCAGCGAAGAGAATAGCTTTTTAGAACAGTGTCTTCTTTGGCGGGGGAGAATATCATTCATGGTCCTACCATCACAAATAACATAAAGGAAAAAATGTATTTCTGGGATTTTGAACCCAATTGGAGATTAACTGATCAGATTGTTGTATTTTGTTTCTAATGTGTGAATCTGACCATCCTGATGCAGTATCAAAAAAATTGTTTCCCTTTAAGAAGTTTTACCAAAAAAAAAAAAAAAACAAACAAACAAAAAAAAAAACACTGGTCTAAACACTTTTCTCATCATTTATTTATATTCAGGGGCAGAATCAACATCCTGTGGGTTTTAGAGGGAAGTAACTGGTTAGAGTTTTTTTATCTATATATAATTTATCTATATAATATATATGATTTTTTAATTTTATTTCACTTTAATCTCAGAATTCTGACTTTAATCTCAGAATTCTCACTTTTTTCTCAGAATTCAGATTTTTTTCTCAGAATTCTGACTTTAATCTCAGAATTTTGGATCTTAATGTAGATGGGCACTATGATGGAAGAGATGTGGGAGCACTAAGCTTCACTGACAAAGATGTGAGTTGTTTGAGGTGGCCAGTGACACATTGGTGGAAAATGACGGAATTAGGCAACTTTTTACGTGTCCGAGGGGTCCCCTCATTAATGGAGGAGCAGAAGGTCATTAAAACAAGAGAGCTAGTCTCTAAAACAGACATGGCTATGGCTTAATGCTAACAAGTGTGTTAGCTGTCAGAATTCTGAGATTAAAGTCAGAATTCTGAGATTGAAGAGAAAAAAGTCAGAATTCTGAGATTAAAGTCAGAATTCTGAGGAAAAAAGTCTGAATTCTGAGATTAAAGTCAGAATTCTGACTTTTTTCCCATATTAAACTGAAATAAAATGTAAAAATCAGTTAACTTCTTTTTTTTTCAGTAGCCCTAATCCTCTTCCGTACAATACCAATGACTTAATTCACTGTAAATTTTTAGCGTAGGGAGTAATATGTACTTCAAGTCATAAGCAGACTTGGGTTCATTAAACTGGGCAAAGTACAGGATGAGAGGCAGACCAAACCGTAAGCAAGTCAATATGTTTGGCCGATTTTGATTGTATGGGCATCGACTGATAGCTGAATGCATTTGTAGATTCATTTGTGCATTCAGCAGCCATGTTTTAAGATCACATGAAGTACAAGCATTGCTGCTCCCTCCATTGCTTTCCATTGTTAATGTTTTCTATGATATATTAAGAAATGTTTAATTTTTTTCTATTTAATTTGAGAATTGTGTAACATTTGTTAACATTAAAAAACAATATTGTTTACAAAATTTGTCAGCACATATTGGGGATCGACTGGAGTTATTTTATAATAATCAGTATCAGATATAACTTGGAAAAGGTTCAAAATGTTTTCCAGATGAAAGAGAATAAGAAAACTCTCCTCTGATAGATTTGATCTGGTTATGGTTTATTTTGATATTTTACCTTGTTTAGCGTATTTCAGAGCAGATAAAAAAAAAAATCTTGTGTTTTTATTAAACAAATGTGTGTTCCAAGTATTTTCTTAAACTGTCTGTAGCATAATATACTGATATAATAATATAATTTATATCTAGAGTAGAGTCTATGACTCTATTAACCCTTTATATGGCAAGTTAGCGGTTTTGATCATTTGCATACCCATTACCAAAGTCCTCCCACATCGCCATCCCTCAGTGACGTCTAGAAGCACAAGATCTATATCCAGCCATTCAGCAAAGATGCTGCTACATGGCTTATTTTAGCAATTGACCAATTAGATGAGCCCTTGAATGATCTATTATCTACTGTAAATTAGGTTGAAAAAATAAGTTAACATGTCAAGAAAAAAGGTAAAAAGTTAATTGAAAAGTTAAACAGTTAATAAGCCTAGTTAACATTTATATTTAGCTTTATAAACTAAAAAATGTAAGTGCCAGTATCAGCATTAAAGGAATAGTACACCCAAAACATGATTAGCCTTCATTTTCTACTCACCCCCATGCTGAACAACACTCTGGAGTACTTTTTTGATATCTCAAATGCATCTGGAGATCTGGGAGGCTTCTTGCTGTCTGCTGACATTCAAATAATGGAGGTCTATGGCGCCCGAGGCAGAAAGGTCCATAAAAGTCCACAAAAAACGTGTCAATATTCCTCCATACTGCTCGTCCAATGTATTCCAAGTGTCCTGAGTGGGTAGCATCCAGAATTTACTCGAAACGAAGTCATTTAGAATGTTTTTAGAGCATAAACAGTAGTGTATAGGATTTCCTGAAAGCGTGCACATGCGCGATCACGAGTCTACGGAAACTGCGGCAGACCAAACCAGATGAAAGTGCGCATTCAGCGTCTGCTCTGCCGATAATGCAAGCGTAGAAGAAGAAATGTGCTGTTTACCTGTGCAAAGAAAGAAACAACGAAAGAAAAATGTCTGAGGACTTCCGTGTTGAGGAAGAGCTGAATGCGCACTTTCATCTGGTTTGGTCTGCCGCGGTTTCCGTAGACTCGTGAACTCGCAGGCGCGCGCTTTTAGGAAATCCTATACACTACTGTTTATGCTCTAAAAACATTCTAAATGACTTCGTTTCGAGTAAATTATGGACGCTACCCACTTAGGACACTTGGAATACATTTGACGAGCAGTATGGAGGAATATTGACACGTTTTTTGTGGACTTTTATGGACCTTTCTGCCTCGGGCGCCATAGACCTCCATTATTTGAATGTCAGCAGACAGCAAAAAGCCTCCCAGATCTCCAGATGCATTTGAGATATCAAAAAAGTACTCCAGAGTGTTGTTCAGCATGGGGGTGAGTAGAAAATGAAGGCTAATCATGTTTTGGGTGTACTATTCCTTTAAGGCCTCTAAGGCAAAAAAATGTGTTTCTTTCACTCTCAGAGTTTTTTAAATGAATTTCTTATAGAAGCATTTTTGTTTTTTTTATTAATATATTCGTGCAAGTTGGCGTTTGATGTTATTACACTGACATTAATTTTTGCCATCAAAACATCCATATTTTTTTAATGATACAAAGGTAATAAGGTCTTGTCCTGGATTCCACTAAAACTATTGGCTTGAAATTTAGATTTTAAAAGGATTTCACTGAGTGCTCTATAAAGGGTTAAACTGGTGGAAAAAAAACTGTTAAAAGAAGCAAATTTCTGAAGTGAAAAGACAATTTTTATTCTCCTTTCAGTTCTATTTCTCCTTAACTTTCAGTCACGTTTCCATGTTTCATGTGTTGAACCCATCTACAGAATCCATAACAGAATCTCATGCAACGACTATAGTCCACTGTAGGGTTCCCCCACATTTAAACCTCCAATAAACTTACCTCCACAGAGTTTGTTCCCGGAGCGGTCGCAGTTAAAATTATCGCACTCGCAGAACTGGCCGCTGTACCTCTCCTCTGGGTTTTCTCTTGTCTTGCACTCACACGTGCCGCACACGCATTCTCCATTGTTGCTGCAGATGTCGGTGCCGTTGTCTTTGCGGCAGGTCCGGTCCATGTCCTCTGTGGCCACGTCGTTGCTGCTGCACTCGCACTTCCTGCCCACGCGGCCGTCTTTGCACCTGACACGCAGGTTGGAAAACTAGTATCCAGGGATTTCTTACAGACATGTAAGGGGTTTTGGTCGTGCCGTTACCTGCAGGCGCCACACTCGTAGGTTCCGTTACCAAAGTGGCAGTCTGGGCTATTCTCTATGCGTTGATGGTGGCAGTCGCACTCACAGATGAAGTTGAGGGTGATCTCGACCTCCTCGGTGAACCCCAGGGGCCTTACCTTGATGATCTCAGGCTTTCCATTGTTTGGACAACCCTTAGAGGTGATGCTGATGTTAAAATGGACCTGTGGTTGAAGAAAAACTGTTGAAAAACTTGTACAAATGAAAGAAAACATGTTTCTCCTGAGTATCTAATGTCACACAAGTTGCCGGCGTGACTAAAACTCCTCCTTGATTCACATTTTCTTTTTTCTTCTAATGACTAAAGCAGAATCCATGTATTATTGCACTGTTGAAGAAATGGCTGGAAACTGGAAAGGCTTTGTAGCAGTTTTTTTTATGTGACACCAATTATAAAAATACTACAATACAATACATAGTAATTCTACAGATAGTACCAACCAAACACGCCACTATTCAGAAAATATTCATCAGAACTTTCAAGATTAGGATTATCTGCTCTGGATTTGACTCAAATTAATCAGGCAAATTTTGTAAAATGTTTAAATTAAGATTTCAAATGCAAAAATTAAAAATTTGGTTTTGAAAATTTTCAAAACAATTATATTTTCCACTGTTTGACATAGTATGGCTTTTTTTTCCAAAGATGATACCGTATTTTCGTGACTATAAGGCGCATATAAACGTCTTTTTTTCCCCTCAAAGAGTGCGGCGCGCCCTATGTGTGTTGTTACTGCGGACGTTTGAGACCACCATAAGAACGTTAAAAGGGGAAGTGTGGGCGTGGATGGATAGAAACTGCCGCCTATGGTGATATTTAAGAGAAAGACTTTGCCTAAAGAGACTTTTCCAGCTGGAGTCGTTATTAAGGCAAATGAAAAGGGCTGGATGGATGAGGAGATGATGAAAGAGTGGCTGAGGGAGGTCTATGTAAGGAGACCAGGTGTTTTTTTCCAAGCATCACCATCGCTGTTAATCTGTGAAACAGAGCTGTTATTCCGGGAGGTCTGACAAAGGAACTTCAACTTCTCGACATCGGTGTGAACCGGCCATTCAAAGTAAGGCTGCGAGCGGCGTGGGAGCGATGGACGACCGACGGAGACCACAGT